AAATCCATCGAACGGACTGGGATGATCATATCGCCTTTCATCACCCAAAGCGAATGCATTACATGCCCAACATGTTCGCCCAACCGGAGAATGCTAGAGAATGGGTGAACTCTTTGATAATTTGACTGAGGACCGGGTACAATGGATGTTCGAGTGGTTCCCTGCTGAAGAATTCATCGTTCGATCCAGGGATGCGCCATTTCTGATACTGATCGGTTTGAAGGGAACCTACCCTTATGTCCCTTCCGAGTTATGAGACAGGCTGGTAGGAAGCAGGTTATACCAAGGGTCGACAAGATGAGTCATTTCCGGGCTGACTTCCAGGCTGACGATAGTCCTTACAAGTGCCAACCTCAGCATATGTGGCACTGCAAGATCGTCATGGGAAGAGATACAATCGAACCAGATAGATACCATGCCAGTTGTACTCCTTACTATTCCGGTTGGTTGGAGGATAATCACAATGGTCTGGGTCAACCCGGGTTTGTTCGAGGTCACAGGATCATCGATGAAAAGGCTGAAGCACAGGTCAAGTACAACCAACTGCGCAAGAGGATTCGAGAATGTGAAAATGAGCACCGTGAAATACAAGAAGCCTATCAAAAACTAATTGAAGAGTGGAAGGATATGGCTGTCAGCGCCAACAAACGATTGGTCTGTTTGGAGCGAGGTATAGTAGAATTGGAAAAGAAGTTTCTGAAGAGGGTCGAGGACTGCCGGACTGCTGAAGGAAATAAAGGCGGACATCTGGCCAGAGCTTACTTACTAGTAGGACTGCGCGAGCTAGGGGAGCTGTTCGATGGAGCCAACAATGCCGAGTCTGGGGAAGGTCCCTCTGGGACCAAATAGATAGGAATTTCCATTTCCGCTTTATTAGATGTAATAAGGCCGATGGCCATTAGTGATTTTTATTTTCTTGTTATTTAGTGTTGTTTTGGGATTCGTCTACCTTTTATCAGTGAAATGAGGTATTTAGCATTCTAAGTTCTCCAAATTAACTTGTGCTAGGCCTACCTCGGGCACAATGAGGTCCCCAAAATTAGGACGCGCTTTATACTTCAGCACTACGTGTTTAAATATTGCAACATTTTTCTAATGATCCGCACTAACTTGTTACCTTTTGTTTTACTTTTTGTTTATTCCCCTCACCAAAGGTTAGTTCGTGAACTCTGGCAACATCATCATATTTTACGAGATCCAGGGGCCCTCCACCTACTCCTCCTCCCAGTCCTGTCAGACACAGAAACAAAGGAAAAATGGAAGATTCGAACAACTCAGCTGAACGGGTAGAGGTCACTCATGGTACTCTGGTCCCCAAGGAAAATGCATCCCAACTAGAACAAAAGTTGTTGAAGTTTCAGGAAGAACTTGACCAAGTCTGGAATCTGGCAAATTTGTCATTTTCCCTCACCACTCCAGAGGTTACTTTCCCAAAAACTCAGAATCGTGTACCTCCGCAAAACATCCCAAAGCAACAAAACCATCCCGCTCCTCACCACCACTGCAATACTTGCCATACCTCAAATAATAC